AAATAAAAATAGGTAGACAATCACCAATTCTCAATCCTCACTGAAAACTGTGAAAAGGGACTTGTTGGAACCGGAGAATCACAATGGAGACTACGAGGATGATGTGACAAGGAAGAAATATATAAGAGACAATCTGAACCAGTTACCCTTGCACAGCAGATTACCATGAAATTCGTATTTAATCTCCACTAGATGCATACTGATCATTGTCAATTTAATACCTAAAAGGATAAGTTAGAACAAGACATTTGAAAAATGTTTCAAATCGGATTGTAATTTTGATCGCTCTAGTGTCGACATAGAACGGCCCTTTAATATAAAAAGCTGGGCTTTTAAGTCATTGATCCCAACAGCACAACTGGTATAAATTTTGTTCTTGATAACGGCATTCCATTAATAGTGGATGCCAAAATATCAGATTTAATATGGAGAATGTACCAATGGTTAATGCGAACAAAGCAATGCCATTGTTTAGTTGGACGAATTCGCCTAACCAACGTCCAATTGCCCACAAATGCTACACTAAGAATTCAAATCAGATTATGAAACGTTAGGATTCATTAGAAACGGCGTCCATTTTTCGTGACCCACTAAAAAGACCACGTTTTAATGATGCTCACAAGATACTTTCATCAATATATATATTTATATAAAGCTTTATCATTAATTTTAAAATTGATTTTTCTGATAAAGATGCTAAAACCGGTCACCATTTTTAAGCTACATAGCGCACTCCCCAGTTTAAACATCATTGCAAACGCATAACTTCAAACTGCCCATTCTTTCCGCGATCCTCTCTTACCCCTTTGTGAACGTCCAACTTCCGAGTACTTCAACTTGGCGACTTACTCTCATGATATTAGAAAAAGATGATGGTCTTTCGTTGGATATGACCAAACCAGTTTAAAGAAAATTTGCTTTACTTTGGCCATTTTTAAAACTTTTTTGAAAAAGATCTCTAAGCTAAGAGGTGTCTTGTTACTTTAGTTTCATTCTGCCAACGAAGCTCTGTGCTGTTGTTCATATTTCACTCAAATGTGCATTCCACAGAGCGGTCTTAAATAAATAATCCACCAGAAACAGACAACTACTCGGAAAATGTCGATAAGTGTTGCGTTGATGTTACGCTTGAGAAGAGCTAACGATCATCATCGTGAGCGTACCGTGAAAAAGACAGACTTAGAATAGAAATCGAAGTTAAGGATACGGCGGACAAATTTTCGAAACGATTAAGGTCTTCTTGACCTGACTCTTCAAATCAATTTCTCATCAACGTTGGACATACTTGAGCCAATCTCCTTCTATTGATGAGAACTTTAAAAATATGAGAATACTATCAATGCAACATTGTCTCTAGGGAGTTAAATTAAGGAGATATTACTTTAGAATTTCTTACTTTGCTACTTTAAGCATTTAAGGTGGATATTTTGGCAAACTATTTTATCTTATTCAGAATGCGGTGGGTGCGTCATTATCACCACTTTGACAAATTTGATAGATCAAGAAATCAATGAAATCGGGTAAACTGAGAGCCTCATTTTCATTCCATTGTAGGCGGTAGAAGTAACTATTAATTAAAAGTGGCATGACCACCTGGAAATTAAAACAACTAGATGCCATGACCACGAACTCACCTAAAGCGAAATCAATCATCATAACCAAATGCTTCTCAGCTTAACACAAAGCACGCACATTCTGTCTTTGCAGGAAAATATCAATTTCTGCCTCTTCAGTAGTCACATTTTATTCTTCCGATAATTATAGTCTTTGTTGGTTTAGCTGCTGTCTAACTCACTCCCTTGCTTCTTGTGATATCTCCTTTTGACGGAAATTCCAATTTCACTGCACATAGTTTGTGATTAATTTCAGCCCTATGCTTTGTCATACCTACATAAGGTTGTGGCGTTTTAGTCGTTTTAGGTGATACTCAAATCCCGTTTCTGGTTCCATTTCTAATTGGGGCTTTTAATAGGGTCTGAATTAAGGGGCAGGATTGATGAACTAAATGAATAATTGTCCGGATAAATTGGTCTCCTGTGTATTTCAGGATATGCTGCACTTAATGAGAGTCTCACCTGCTTTGCCAAAATATTATACTTTGACAGAACATAAAGTTGAAATCACGAAAAAACGGAAGCAGTCGTCTGTTTAGCCGTAAGTCTAGTTAAATTATGAAATCGATTTCTAAGTAACTGCAGAAAAAATAAGCTGTGAATCCTTAGCAATATGGCTAAGTTGGAAACATGATTGGGAAACGAGGATCCATTGAAGGAGACCAAACAAGAAATAGTTTTATGATCATGATGTTTCAGCCAAGAACAGTTAGATCAGGTCCTGAAGTGCGAATTTTAGAAGGTTTGTATTTCGCTAAATGAACTATGACCGATTGGATGAAATTGAATAAGTTTTATCTAAGAAAAATTGAATCAAAATTGCATTATTGAGGATTCTTTAACTTTGTTCGTTTTGCACGATGTGTTGTATAGCTGGGTTTGTGCCCTACATAGCATTGTAATGAAGCCTGCTTTGAAGGCATATACGTGACTTCTTTAGGTATGCGATTTGTGATCATTTTGGAGGATTAATAAGATTATGACAAATGGTGAACGCGCATTATTTACCATCTCTGACGAAAGCTATACGCCAAAGTCAAGAGTATCTTCGTTTCCTCAGCAGGTAATACATTTAGCTACACTTTAAGCAATCTGTAAAAGTTTTTTTCATAGGAGTAAATGCTCTTTTGCAGCAATTGAAGTGAAATAGCCTCTTGACGTCTCTAACACGTCAACCAGCCCTGTTTTCCTTACTTCTATCAAATTATTTTTCTCGCTTTCCTGCGTCGCCATTATTTCCTATTGTCCACACCACTGTAACTCCTGTTGTGAAGGCTAATGTTGACATGAGGTTACACCCAACAGTCAGAGATAATGTAGAGATAGCAAGTTTTGTGCATTAAGTAGAATTCTTCACGCCTGAAGTCGTTACATTACGAATCGTGCCTGAGCTCTCTGTGCGTAGTCACAATCCATCCAAACATTCCGTTTTCTTGAACTCTACACAAAGTGAACATTTCGTCTAGATGGACATGATGAGAGTCGGTTTTGTCTTTTCACCTTTTCCAGAGCTTCTATCTGACGCACCAACACGACTTCCATGCTTGGTGTTCTCAACCATGGTCACTGGTAGAGTTTAAAATCAGGCACCTCGTGTAAATCTCTCTTGATAAATTCACATTTTTTTAGATAATGGAGTGTTATTAAAAGTTCTGGTGGGGTTAGGCAAGCTGCTGCATTCTTTTCTATTCAGAACACCCTTATCTTCCCTCAAACTAAGGCTCCATGTTTTCCTCTTAATTTTAATCTTTCTGCTCCTATGCAACGGATTTTTTAAATCCTATAAATATGAAGCCATTTGCATAAAATCCGCACATTTACTCACATGTGCCTGACACGTGCCTAATTTTGAAGCGATTCTCACTTTTAAGGCATTTTGCGTGTGGCATTTAGTTATTGGAATTTTTAGTCATTGTACATTGTCTTTCCTATTTTATCTCGGAATTGGAAGGAATTTTCAAAATTTTTCATAGAGATTAGTCATTGTTTGCCGTGCATGAAATTTCAAAGCACTGATTTTTACCAAAAAATCTATGTTTTGTAAAAGTCACTTTCATAGTAATACATTTTAATGACAAATGCATTTTTGACATTTAGTAAGAGAAAGTTGATAAAGTGTATTTATACAATTTCTAGTGGTCCCTGGATTTGAAAGTATTAAATGACAATGAAACGTAATATACCATTGTGAAAAATCCATGAAGTTTGTACCTATTTCCTAAAGCTGAGCTTGGAAAAGGTAGTTCAACTTATTGAAGTTGATTCAAATAGTGTTCCATAAAAGTAGTTCATATGGGGTGGGGGTGTGCGATAGACTTACCTCCACGTGGGCCACTCTGAGCAACGTTTACTCATGCGGCAAAAAGCCTATAAACCGGCAGTTGACTTCTGAGTTCAAGCTATCATGACCCCACTGTATGTCATATTACACCACTTTCACAGTACTCACCTCACCTTTCATCTACCTTTTGTCTGTCTCTTTTACAGCCTTTAAAACACTCTTCTGTTCACCCCCCCCCCTCTCGACTATTTTCGCTTTGATGTTCCTGCCCCTCTGTGAAGCCTGAAGTCAACTAAAGGGCAAATGATAACTATCAAAACGCCTGCCATATTTGATATAAATAAAGTTCAGATGGGGTTACCATATAATATCATTGAACTAAACGCATAAAGTTCTTTATATGAACCTACTCACATATGAGCAATGTAAGTTGAGGGACTTTAACCCTTTTAAATACAAATAAGCAAAATATGGATATAAAAGAGAACTGACCCTTACAAAGTTGAGCTTATGTTATGTCAAATTAAAACACCAAGGTCAAACTAGCTATGTTTAACCATATTTTCATTCCAGTAAGCTGTAATACGTTAAGTATATAATAACTAATAATTTTTTGACTAGGAGTGTGCGGTAGACTTACCTCTACGTGGCGCACCCTGGGCAACGTATACTCATACGGCAAAAAAGTCTATAAACCGGGAGTTGACTTCTGACTTCAAACTACCATCACCCTACTGTATGCCATATTCCAACACTTTCACAGTACTCACTTTTACTTTTTCTCTACCTTTGTGTCTGTCTATCTCTTTTGCATTTATGAAACGCTCTTCTGTTCCCCACACCTCGACTTTCTGCTACTTTGATGAACCTTCCCTCTGTGAAGCCCAAGGTCATCTAAATGGTTAATGATAGTTATCAAAACGCCTGCCATTTGAAATAAATATAAATAAATAATTGTTTAAATAAGTTTACTGAAAGCCACTTTAAGGCAATGACTTGCTGTTGGTAAACTGAAAGATGATTTAATTTTTTAATCAATAAAATACGCGCACTTGTCACGAGTTCCAAATTCCAGTTTAAATGGGCGCACGAGCTTTAAGTTAAAAATGCCAAATTTCATTGAGGATGAAGCCACGCCGTCACTTCTCATTGCAAATCCCCCAGCCGGGGGAAATCTCAACAGAAAAACCTCTCAATTTGATTTCAGTAGTGGGGCGACTTTTAAGAACATTGATCAACTCTGCGTAGATGGAATTATTACAGCAACTGAAACCGCTGTTTTTAAGGCAAAATCTATGAAGCTGCATGAAGCATTGAAAAGGTAAGTAGGTTAATTGATTTAAACTAAATTATTAAGTTTACTTTCACGCACACAAAAAACTATTCATTTTGCTCTCAATGGAGTCTCAAACAAATTCAGAGAGTTTCAGTTTTAAAGCAAGATTCAATTTGGAGTATGTTTCACTTAATAATAAAAATTCAAATAACGGATTTGATAATAATTTTATAACTATGAATCAGAAATAACATAAAACAACTTTTGTCACTAATATAACAAATAAAATAATGCTCTTATTGGCAGATTTAATGCTGACATTTTCTTGCAGTTATATTATGAGCAATTAATCTGTTAGGTTCAAACCACAGATATTTTTTAGGGAAAAAAACTCTGTTTTAATAAAAATCGAATTTATTAAACACATTGTTTTATTGTAATGTCTTTTGATCAATAAATCACTTGTTAGATCGAATGGTTCAAGTATTTACCTTACGAATTGAGTATTTGCCTACCAAATTCAGACAACAAACTTTAAAATATACTTAAGTGGCATGAATGTATTGGCCATCAGGATAAAACAAACCAGAATTATCGTTGCTTTATTTCATCTTACTCTCGTGTAATGCTTTAAAGGGCTACCCCCTTCCTTTCATTCCGGTTCATTCTGTAGCGGATTGCTACGCTAGTAAAGCCTGACTGACTCAGAAATCTCTATGGCATTAGTTTGACAATAGGTCTAATTTGGTGATGTCCTTGAGATGGCTTCAATTGAGGTGATACAGCAAGTTTGAATTTCATATTAATAATAAATATGCTTGAATCGTAAGTAAACGGACTAGAATTGACAAAATTTGATATTTTCTCGTTGAAAATTTTGGTTTTTTAGTAATTTTAGTGTTGAGCCAATTATTTTTCCAAATAATCATTGTACCAGAGCAAAAAAAGTTAAAAAACGACTCGATAGCGGATGAATTCGCCTTTCTCGCAAGCACCTCTGCCCAATGTCCACATAAATCATTTTGAAACACATTTTAGAATTACTGGCTTCCGTCATTGGAATGACAGCTCATTTATAAACTTAACGAGCAAATACCTTTCCTACAATTATTTATTTATATCAAATGGCAGGCGTTGTGAAAGTTATCATTAGCCCTTTAGTTGACTTCAGGCTTCACAGAGGAGGAGAAACATCAAAGTGAAACAAGTCGAGAGGGAGAGGGGGAACAGAAGAGAGTTTCAAAGATGCAAAAGAGACAGACACAAAAGTGGAAAAGGTGAGATGAGTACTGTGAAAGTAGTCGAATATGACATACAATGGCGTGAGGGTAGTTTGAAGTCCATCATTGGAATGACAGCTCATTTATAAACTTAACGAGCAAATACCTCTCTTACAATTATAGTGTGTTGATAATATATCTAACCACGTTCACTGAGGGTTAGTTATCTCCCAGTCCACTAATACTTTCCTATTTTTTTTCCTATTCAATCACGTCTTATAATTACAAATACACCGAAAGATTCTTTGAATTCGCATACATTATAACAACGTTTGCAATACGAGCTTTTTACCATGAGGCAATATTCACAATATTGCCCACAGTGAACGTGGGCGTTATTGTGAACAATATTTGCCAAAAATATGCCATCAGCGAATTTCTAATTTGAGCGCTTTATAATTATTATCATTATTATTATTATTATTCAATACCCACACAACCATATTTGCTGTGTTTGCAAGCAGATATTTGCACCTCCGGTATAACCTGTGGCTTAATAAAAATTGTTGAATTCTGATTTCATTGTTAAAGAGTAGTTGTTGTACGAAATACAATACATATTTCTAATTGACTCATTACAATAAATTTAAAGATATTTAATAAGTAGAAGCACGTAAGTAAATTCTATTTTTGGAAAAGTTATGACAGGGTGGAAATCAAATACTATTTGAGAATAATAGAAGATTTTTTGCCTTTTCTGAAGTAATTACACTAAAAATTACCAAATTAAATGCCTATAAAATTAAATCCAATATAAAATAAATAATTAGAATGTGGTGACAAATTTGAGTATTATCATGGCTTGTTAATTTTCTATTCAAACTTCTGAACTAGTCAGTTTTCAATAAAATTTGCTATTGATGCAGTAAATAAGTGCTTACATGGAAAAATTATTAATGAATATTAGGCTCAATTTTTGCTGCCCTCGAAGGTGCTTGAAATCAATTTCGAAGCCGGGGAGGAGGGGGCTGATGAGATGCAAGAAATGGCAAATATTGATTTATTTCAAACGGCAGGCATATTAATAGTCATCATTAGCCCTTTAGCTGACTTCGGACTTCACAGAGGCGGGGGGGGGGACATAATAGTGAGAAAATTCGAGAGGGGGGGGGGNAGAAGAGTGATTCACAGATGTAAAGTGAAAGATGGTCACATAGGCAGAGAAAGAGTAAGTTAAGTACTGTGGAAGTGGTGGAATATGAGATTCAGTGGGGTCATGGTAGTTTGAAGTCAGGAGTCAACTGCTGGTCGATAGACTTTAATATTGGCCTTTAAATGCTTAATCTATTGCAATTCTATTTTTTTTCTAATAAACTCACTTATTTAAACCCTTCATTGTCGTTTCAAAATCGACTAAACGATGCATGGCATATAAGGTTTGAGAGGTATTGGGTTTTATCCATTTTTAAAGTACTTTCCATCTGTAAATCTTAAAGTTGGAACAGTGAAGGATATATCCATTTATTGATTTTTTCCTCACTATGTTAGCCATTTCTGAATTCTGAATAACTATATGATATTATAAAGAGTGATTGTGTGGGACAATTTTTTACTTACAGATATATTCGTGGTCGTAAATATTTTTAGCTAGCAGGACCCAGCATTGGTGGAGTATTACAAATATTTTTTATTTTCCATCTAGGTTTTAGTTAATATCACTCGACAATAAGCATTTTTGCTTATCATCATTAAGCAGGATCCTTATTTCAATTTGATTATAATTTAAAAAACCCCCATGTTCCCTGGCCACTAAAAACAGTTACCATGCTGAAAATTATTATCGAAAAACTTAAATATATTATCAATTACTATGATTTCTAGAATGAACCTCCACGATTTGTCTCCCACTCATCCCCTCTATAGTCTGGCCAAACCAGACCTATTTGAATATTGCATTTGGCAAGATTTTTCAATCAGAAATAGTGGAGTTAGCGTATTATTTTATCCTTAATCACCTGAGATGAACTATTGATATCATTTTAACTTGGTGTTGGTACCAATGCGAAGTGTTGTAGTAAATGAATCAATTATAATGTCACGAATCTGATCACGATTTAGGAAAAAATAACAATCAGATCTAACGTTAGTGCACTTAAACAAGCTCATGAACTTGGGAGATGAATTGTGAAGACTGTGTCATGCGATTCGATGTCGTTATTAATTTTCTCCATTTCAAAAATATGGTCAACACTTTTTTCCTCTTTTTGAATCAAGAAAAATGTGTTTTAGGCTGACTTTGTTGTAGTTCTTAATAACCAACTGCCTTTTTAGTATTTAAGTCTTACCAAATTTAGCTATTGCAATATGTGCAAAATGTAAAGATTATGCTGCACTATATTTAATATTGGCGTATCTTTTAATAAGTTATATTGTGAACTTCTGTATGCCAGTTGGAGACACTAATTCGTGCCATCCAATCGCTCTATTCAAAATAGAATTTATTAACCAAACAAAAAGTTGACGATAGGTCGTCATTATTGAAATACGCAGCTACTTTTATATGAAAAATCGATCCAATTTCGAAAATAGTCCTTTCATACCAACAATCTCAGCCCGGGGGGGGGGGGTGAGTTGCTGTTGTTAGAACCATTATTAGAAACTCAATTCAATTCGGAACCTTCAGACTTCATTGCCAAAACTTCTGTGTATTTGCAATACACCTCCATATTCTATTTAGTAACTTATTATCATGAGCTGAATCAAATGTATTAATTGTTTTTACGGGAAAATTATTGCTATTTCAAGTGGAAGGCTTTTGCATTCACACACTGTTTTTTAATTTATTATAACTATTTATTAAATTTAGGTCACTCCTCCTCACGCTGTCAATCACAATTTGTCAAAACGCATAAAATGTATCAAATTCAAATTCTATCATATAATGCTCTAGAAGTTGGAAAGCATATTTTAGTAACAGAACTGCAGTGCAGACAAGAGGCTCTGTGACACTACACGATAAAATTTAGATTTGAAACTTCCTATGTGCCATATTTTGTAGATCGCGAGAGAATGAATTCAAGCTTCATACCTTAATGAAACACTGCCTCTCAGAACTGAAGCGCCAAGAGGCTGAACTTGCAAAGGCTGATCAATTCCCAGACAACGCCGGGACAGAACCACTTATGCTTCGGGCTGAGATAATTAAAACCTACAACAACGCAATGGAACTAGAGGAAAGAGCAGAAAATCTTGCTTACGAGGAAGGACTGCTGAGGGAAGAACGAAAGCTTCTAAAGAGAGACTACTCGCGTCTACCCCTGTCGGAGGTTTAAATTATGAATAGTTTCATTAAATATCATTAAAAAATTATCAATATATTACTATTAAAACCTATACATTTTAGTTGGAAGCTTTGGGTGAAGATGTCAACATTTTCGGGGTGAGTTTATATTGAATTTCGCCTGAAATTACCGCAAGATGACTTGTGAAGGTCACGCGCTTTGTTTTAAAGGAACCGCCTAGGTAAAATTCTCACGGTTTTTCATCAAGTCAAAATGGGAAGCTAATGGAACATTATATACAATTTAATGAAAAAAAATAAATACTGATTGGTCAACATGTCTCGGTGAAACAATGGAATATTATATATTTCAAAATTAGACGAATATAAGAAATTCACCTTAATAATAAACCTTTAAATAAATATTCGAATAGATTTTCAAGATTGCCTGAACCAAGAAGCGTATTTTTACGAACTAACAAATCATATTGAATTTGTGAGCACCCAAATGAGTCATAATGGGTGATTTAAAAATGATTTGTGCTTAATGTGCTTGAGTAAAAAATCACTCAAGATTAGACTACGAAAGATATTTGTCCCCATTTAAATCCTCTGGAATACCCTGAACTCACCCTTAGACAATAATTTTCCGAAAATATTTTACTCACTCATTAGGGTCTTGAGACAAAAGTCACATTATACAGATTTTTTTCAGGAAAATTGAATAAAGCAGAGGACAGTGCACGCAAAAAATCTGCATTGAAAAAAGACAGATTATTATGAGGGATGCGAATTCGAAAAAGCCGAATTGTGAACGAACAGTCAAAGTTCTATGACCATGCATATAGATATACACCATGTGGATAAAAAATTCAACCATATCTTAGGAGATAATATCGACATTTAAACAGAAAAGGTAATGGTGCAAGACGGTGTTATATCGTGGGTTAACGCTGATGAGGTAGGGAATCCCAAATCAGGAGTGATATCCATGCTTTTAAGTACAGCAATTATTGCGCAGTTTATACTATTTTAGAAGAGAAGATTGAATAAAGGGGCTTAGAAAATTGGGGTTTAGTAAAGTGGTGACCTTGAGTAAGGCAGCTGATGGATGTAAAATACTTAAACTTTCCTTTATAAATGAAGCATCGAGTTGAAAAATCGGTCCAAAACCACATTTTTGATGCTCTAAAAAGATATTGGAATTTATTACCTTTGGAATTAATGTAATAATTAAGAGTTTATACGTCTGATTTACATAGTAGTGGAGGCAATAAAATGCGGCAAATCAGAACGCAACTTTTGACGGATCCAGTCAACTGTTTAATGCCGATATTTATAGTTGGGAATTTTCCAACCCAATTAGGCGTTAATGAGAAAGTGCCATCATTTAAAACTATTTTGACGCCACCTTAAGGGGTTCACTCAAAACAAATTAATACTTAATGCTTCATTAAGTATTCGAAGCCAAATAATATAATGCTACTTAGAGGTAAAACAAAAAAATATTGAAAGAGAGGCCATTTTTTATTTCAAAAATTAAATTTTAAATGATGATAATATTTTGTGCACATTGTTACAATAATAATGGCCCTTCTTATTGGAACTAATTAATTTTTTTAATAAATAAATATTTTAGGTGATAGAGCAGCGTTTCAGAGACCTTCAGTCCTTGCATCAGGAGGCAGAGATGGAAGTTGAAATGCTGAAAATGGAAGCCAAACGATTTACGGAACAAGCTAGGATTGCAAAAGAAAATCTAGAGGATACCCTCTCCGAATACACGGATGTTCAAAGTCGGCTGAATCGGATTAAGGTTTGCCTTGTCACCCGTTTTGATATTTAAGCATTCGAATAATAATTTCTCAGTACTGACAGACCATTCCATTGAATCTGGTATGATTTCCAGCTGCAAACTCAGCTCAATTTTACCTTTTCTATCCTTTATGATTTCTTCAACCGTGATAACCATGCTAATTTTTACCATGTGGATACATGTTTGCTGCGTTTTTAGAATTGGTTGAGTGCACATTTCGTTTCATCTATTTTCCCTATTTGAAATGAAGGTCTAATTTGTTGTCTCTTAGCTAGCATTCAAATTGTATTATTTCACTTTATTGTAATTTAGTGCCATCCGCATTACCGATTCGACTGATAGCAGGGCGGCCAAACTGACAGATGAAATTATATTCCTTATTTATCACATAGCATTCTCCCCATTTTTTCTCAGGAAATTGTAGAAAATTCACATGTAGACTTTGTCAACATCACCATTTACCTCTAACCAATTGTGGCTGAGAATTAAGCACAATTACTCTAAACCCTCAAATAATGCCATTTTAAAATGTTGTATAGCTCTTTTTTTGCTGCTGCAAGGTAAAAAGCGTTAAAAATGCCGACGCAGGGTAGTGAAAATGGTTAGCAACATCTAACTCTAAGACTCCGTTTGAGCTTTGTCATTTGAGACACTTCTTTTAAATTTTAAATTTCTTAATTTTTGGCAAGAAGTATAAACGCGGTTAACATTGTTGATGTCAAATGACCCAATGGAACTAAATCTGCTTTTAGTGTTTATGAAGTGAAAGTAGATTTTAAAACGATTTTACTATCTATCATGAAATCGATTTTTTTGAATTCACAGTCATTACAATTATATCGAGTAGAAATTAAGTCTCAAACGTAACAAAAGGTGAACTATGAATGATACTAATAAAGGAAATATGACTAAAATGCCTGAATAAATTAAATTCAAGGCCAAAATGAAGACATTTCTTTAAACCGGGTGATAACGACGTTCCAAAGTATAAGAAAATAATTTGCTATGTGAAATATTGTAGTTGATCCATTTCTCAGTAATCACTGCTGTAATGTTGCAAACACTTAACCTTTATAAGATAGTAGTTATATCACAAACAAGGAATAAATTTACCAGTCAATTATACAACTGCAAAATTGATCTTATCATTTTTCAGTAAAATTATACATAGCGCTGAAATGTGCTGTTAGGCTTCCGAACTTCTATGCGCGTGTGGAAGCAAATAGCTTTAAATAATGCGTGCACAGAATTTTTCAGCAAAATTAACTCACAACGAGTGAGTAAAATTCTATGCACTGTTTAAAAGTAGTATTTCGGAATAAACTAAGGCCCCCCCCCACCCCCATCCCAAATGGTATTTTGGCGGTTTAAGCTGTTTTGAAACGAAAGCGAATTGCTTCAAAATGTTGCAAAATTTATATTAGGCAGAAATGATTCTCAAAATTAATTCGGTTTTACTAAGTTTGTAAACTGGACAAGTAATTTTCCTTTTTGTAAGAAGATTATTAACAAGCAATCATAGTTTTGGCTAAGCCTGATGTAACTGTAAGGCTTTCCTATCCTTTTGCTCTTCATTACCTCTTGACCTCATCTCTAATAGTAATTGAAGTATGTGGTGCGTTTTCTTGAAATCAGTTAAAATATCTTTTCAAATTTTTACATATGATTGTGCGGATAAAAAACAGACAATCAATTGGCCACCAAATTGTGACATTTAAAGTTATTTACTGAAAATTTGTTTGAATTATGAATAAAATACCACCGTTTTAAGAATAACGCCTTAGCGTCATTTATCATGGCGTTTTGTACTTGACACAACAAAACTACTCACTACTTTATAATTGATTTAAAGCCTAAAACAATTTTAATGTCCAGGAAACTGCAACATGTTTTAAAAGTTACATTGATTGTAGACTGATTACGTCCCTTATGAAGGAATATTGTTTTTTTCTTGAACTACAGTATTAAGAGTTAATAAATGATGTGAAATAAAAAAAATGATTAAATTGATGTGCATAAATACCATGAAATTTTCGGAATTACAATCCTATTTTCAAATTTAATGAATTTCTTGGTTTCAATGCATAGTATGTCTATTTATAACAGCTTTTTAATTGCTTAAGTCTGCGCAAATTTGACATTTATCTGGGAAAAATTTTAATTTTTTATATTTTCGTACGCCATACTGTGTTCATAGACCATGGAATTTGTTCATCGAAAGCTCTATAGTTTTCAAACCCTTTTTCCACTTAGAATATCAAACCAAAAAAGAAACCGGTTGGGTTAACTCATAGGGTTTAGTTAATCACTAGATTAGCTCCGTTTTTGGAATTTATGAGAGAGACTGAATTAGTTACTAAGCCTTAAATGGATCATTAAGTTATAATTCTTTTCCAAACTAACAGTAAAACAAATTTACAGCTCAAAGTAATTTGAAATATTTCAGCGTCTCCGAGAATATGAAAGCTTTGGTATATTTATTTATATCAAATGGCAGGCTTCATAATAGTTACCATTAGCCCTTTAGCTATCGTAGGGCTGCATAGAAGGGAGGAACATCAAAGTCACAAAAAGTCAAGAGGGAGAAGAGAAGAGTGATTCACAGATGTAAAATAGACAGACAGGCACAAAAGTAGAGAAAAAGGTAAGGTGAGTATTGTGGAGTATTGAGTAAGCCAGTAAACTCAAAATGTCTCCAAGCGACCTCTTCGACTTCATTTCAATTTCGATGAATGGCAACTGCCTATATTGTCGCTTTTAATAATACTATTCTCCTATACCTGTTAACCCTAACCAAAATGGATCTTAATTTTTTAATAATCGAAACACCAAGTAGAAAATCGTTTGAGTTTATGTTAAAATTTTCCGTGGACATTGGAAAAGAATCCGTGACGCGTTTAAGCGGTCATGGGAAAAGTGTAATGATTTCGTCGGCGTAAAAATTGAAAGAAGTGAAGTGATGATGATGATGATGATGAGGAGGAGGAGGAGAAGGAGGAAGCGAGCTGTTTTTGTGACGATATTTAATTTTTCTTGTTGGTATTTATTGCTGCCTCCTTAAACTGGTGTGATCTGGATATGGGAGGCTGTCTTACTTCACAACTTTACCCACCCATCTCACCTAGGCAACAAAATAACTCCCAATATGAGTGTTGGCAATAAAGCCTCAAATTATTTAATTAAATTAAAAAAACTAGCAATATGACAAGCACATTCTTCTTTCTGTTTATTAATGCTAATTGCGGTAGGCTCGGTTTTTACTAACGCCAAGTGGGTAAATTTCTATCTTGTTAGCCTTTGTCAAGTAAAGGCTGCATTAACCTAAGCAAGCGAGTGTGAAAGAAACCTTCCAATTATATAAATTTGAATAAAATAGTTTGCGATTTCATGTGCAATGAAATACTTTGCGCGAATAAAAATGAATGGAAGCAAAGACATGAGTACTCCGTAGCAAATCTCTAACACTTGAGCATACTCACTATAAAATAATCCAGTGCTCAAATCCGGGGGTCCGAGGTTTTGAACTTATCTTTACTGCTCTTCAAACGGGATATTTAAAAATATTTACGTATTTTCAAAAACTATTTCGAAACACGCTTTTTGTTAAAAAATGATTAAAAATATTGCACTGTTGAATACATTTCCGTTGAATTATATATTATTTGGTATCCTTAATGTAATATTTAAAATATCAATGCAAACTTCAAAATAAAAGTTCAAATACGAATTTTTTAAAGAAATCTTTTTCACTTTTCGTGAAAGGGCTTTGTATTTGGCATTTCAACCATTTCACGAGGCGGAAAACAGGTTTTTTTATAACTTTTTTTCTCTCAGAAACAACCTCACTACTTGCGTTATTCGTCAATTTTGGTCTTACATAAAATTAACCCATTAATTATTTTAATTTGATTTATTATAAGTAGAGTTAAGTATTAAAATTTCTTCTGAAGGCAGAAAATGTTCTGGCAAATGCATTGCCTGGCAGATATATGAAGGAGACTGAAAAAGCGCGCAAATACAAGTCGTGAGTTGACAAGCCTTAATTATTTATAGTTAATATTTTCTTCACACAGTCTGTTCATCCAACCAAATTTTTCTTCAATTTGATTTGTAAATATTTTCTTCAATAGTACAAATTAATTCATCTTTAGAATGCTTTTGAATTGTACTGGTTAGTACTTATATAGTAAAAAAAAAACATTTTCATCTAATTAGCAAAATCAATTTCAATATTTTCATGAATAAATTTATTAAAAAAATGATAATTTTGGTTCAAAATTGGCTTGTTTTAACTTAGAAATATACGGCTTTCTATCCAGTCTTTCCTTACCACAGCGATTACGAAAAGAAGATAAAAAGCTTGGACATAGAACAGGCCCAGTTTACTGAACAGAAAAATAAAATTGAAGAGGACTTGCGCTCACTAATTTCTGAAAACGAAACTTTAAAAAAGCAAGCCAACATTTGAAAATATTTTATTATACATAATTTATATAGTCTAATGCACAAAATTTTGTACATTAGATAACGTGTTATTTATAATATAAAAAATTATCCAATTCGGCAACTCTTATAATCTCATTGAGACATGCCTCTTGAAAACTTAATATTTTCAAAGAAAGGAACGCAAGGCAAAACCCTTTGACAAATCATTGAAAAAAAGATAAAAGTTCTAATGTAGTATTTGTGCACTGGAAGATAGTTGAGCAAGGAGTTAATTGGGAGATGCAGTCGCGATGTCAAAGTCGCGTAGAATTGCTTAATATGGTAGTCTTAAGGAAGCTGTCTGATTCTGTAGTCCTAGGTCTTTCGTCATTACCTGACAACAAGAGCACTTTAATTAGTCAGTAAGTGCGTAATAAAATGAGAAACCATGTAAACCAATGAAAAAAGAAGAGCGTAGGTACTGCGAATAAATTAAGACACTCCCCTATGTTGCACACGTAGCTTTCCTCCAGCTTTGTCTTGTAAAGATTTCTCAATTTATCGAAAATAAATAAATATATATATATTGCATGTTTGGTCACCTAAACTGTCTTAACCATTTGTTCAAGTGCTTAATTTGAATAAATTAGAAATATCTTGTGCCGATTTTTTTTAAATTTATATTTCCTAAAAAATTATGTCAAAAGAGGATTGAAGTGCTGAAATTTGTTCGTTCCTACAGAAAGCCAAAATTTACTGGGAAAATATGAAATAAGCACGTCCATTAGTGAATAAATAACCTGTGAAACGAAGATAAATTCTTATTCAAAGAACCAAAACCTTGAAGGATTTTTCTAGCATCCATTTTATGCAACACTGAGTCTCTCTGTTTGTGACTTTAATAAATTAAGACCTCTTTAGAAAACAAGATTTAACCAGTTGCCACTAATCGGCTGTCAGAGAAGAGCATTGAAAAGCTTTACCATTTTAATACTAAAGTTTATTGAATTCTGGAAAAAGGGGGTGTATCTTTGCTATGGAAAGCGTATCGATTTTTCTCGATACGCCTGAAAGGAACAATTTTCAACTCTCTTCATTGTGATTATCGCTTTCTGGATATTTATATCGACACCTGGATGTTTAAGACCGCACCGAAAAACTAATTACAATATTTTTTGGTTAGTGAATTAATCATTAATAAGATTGCTTGCTCTTTAATTCCAGATTTCATTTCTTAATGATAAAAACTGTCATCTTGACTTACTAGGCAATTAAAAATCACCCTTTAGAACCACTTTAGGATGGCTGTTTATAATGGAGATGTCATTTATCACACTCGTTGGAACATCTAATTGCAAATCGAATTTCGTTTCTTATAGGGAAATTGAAAAGAATAAGGAGATATCCAAAGAAAACAAGAAGAATTTGGAGGAACGCACTCGAGATCTGGCAGATTGGCAAGATCTTGAAATGGAAGTACGCACAGAGAAGTAAGTAAATATATATATATGCATGTTAATAAAAATATTCATAACTTTTTTCCTGAAGCACATTTTTTGATCTTAGCAAATTTTTATTATTGGTTTGGACAGATTAATAATAAGCAGCTGGCTGATAGGACATTTTTTATAAGGGACTTTGGAGAATCTTTCGAACGTCTAAATCAAGAGTCGCAGTCCACTTTTGTAAAAAGATTTTAGATAGGTATTTTAACAAAGTACGATGCAACTCAGAATATGTGTGGGTAGGATATACTTTATTTCCACATACATTCCAAACGTTTTACTTCAAGGTTTTACCAAGATAATTTTATAGAAGAGAAAAATATTACTGCATTGATTTTTATCTGGATTAATTTTTCGTGAACTATATCATAATAATCTGAAATGATCAAGTCAAATTGTAGACAAAACAGAATTCTCTTACTATGGTCATCGGAAGAGCCACAATTGCTATTGTTGGGGAGTTACCCTAATCCACATAAAATTTATATTTAAAGTTTTAATCACGGCAACGCTTCAATAAGTCTTTACGCTTCCCTACAAAGCGTAATCTAATCGTAAAATTGCGTTGAATCTGATTGACTGGAAGATAATGAGCACGAGGGTTAGGTGAGTTAAAAAATCAGCACCTATATGCTGACAAAGTGGTTTTATCGGACTGGATATCGACAGTATGATATATCAAGTTGGGGTGTGCGATAGACTTACGTCCACGGAATGCATCCTGGCCAACGTATACTCATAAACCGATAGTTGACTTTTGATTTCAAACTACCATGACCCCATTGTATGCCATATTCGATCACTTCTGCAGTACTCACCTCACCTTATCTTTTTCTCTGCCTTTGTAACTGTCTCCACTTCACATCTGTGAATCATTCTTCGGTTTCCCCTCTCGACTTTTCTCACTTTGAAATCCCTCCTCCCCTCTGTGAGGACCGAAGTCAGCCAAAGGGTTAATGATAACTGTCAAAACTCCTGCCATTTGAAATAAAAAATATATCAAGTGCAATTCTATTAACGACTTCCACTGTTTTTTCTTGTCAGTCAAACCATCGTAATCAAAATGCAAATATAAACCTGCACTGGAATGTGCAACGATAAGGTGGCTGCGTAGACTGATGGCCGGTAATCAAAATTGAAAAGTTGCACGTCATTTCCTCCCCTTAAACCTCTTTTCTTGTCTTTTTGTCCTTCCAAATACTACAGTATGAGCAGTTTTTAACTGCACCTCAATATTAAAAAGTTTTTCCCATTTTATAAAGACTTGTGTAACCTTACCAACTAAATTTTGATATGAGAATTTTGTCATACTTTTTCTCTTCATCTCGATTAAGCTTGTCATTCTTCAATTTCTCAGAAAAAAATTGAATATTCTTGAGTTTTAAATTTCTTCATGTTACAATTTTCTTATATTTTTTTTTGTTAGAAAAATATGGATACTCGCCTTTGCTGCTCAGACCCTACTTTTGAATTTTTGAGCTTCATAACCTTTTCTTCCGTATTACGCATATCTTTATACCATTAATATGCAATTATTAAATTTTTTAATTTCAAGGAATCGATGAGAGATTTTAAATTTGTATTCTAGTTGCAAATTGAGTAAAAACATCTTCTCAGATTTAATTCAAACTGTTCAACTATATATTGTTTCTCAATATTTGCCTCTTTCGATTCGCATAATCGCAAAAAAACCAATTCAACTCTATTTTTATATTTGGCCTTGCGCTAAAAATCGCTTTCATTTAACCGAAAGATTCACAAAAATTGTAAAATCATTAAAAAATCATCCTCGACTTTAAAAAATTGAAGCATTTTTGACAATTTGCTGCTTGATTTTTTACCCCCATTTGAATTTGCGAGTGTGCTTTTTCCACTGTTTCTTTCAGAGCCAAATTAGCTCAAAGGTTGGACATCTTCGTGTCGGAGAAGAAAGAGGGTCAGCAGGAGCAGACCAAATTGAGATGGGAGAAGGACAATTATTTGAAAAAACTGAAAAATTCCCAAGTCCAATTAGAAGCCGCGGTTGACAGCGTGAAGGTGAGTATGTGTGTGTGTGGGTTGGGAGGGGAGTTGCACTTCTTAAATATCCAAACAATTTATAAATGATGCTTTACCAAATATTGCCTTTCAGAACGCAACAGCTGGATTTGAGAAAGCCAGAGCCCGTTTTGCAGTCGCTCCGAAATATGATAAAAATCTTCTGATACTTAAAGAAAAGCTTGGTGGTCTTATTGCTGACCTTCATAATGAAATTGCTGAAGAGGTGGGTGGTTAATTTTCATAGTGGTGGTTGTTTAAGGACCTGTTAAGTCCTAATTTTACCTTACTGAGTGATTAACTTGAGTATAGAATGGCAATTTTCAGTCAAGTCTTAGTTTTAAATAATCCGCGTTATTTGTCAACTTGATTAAAAAGAATAAATTGGGTTTCCTTTCCTTTCAATGAAAGATGTATTTTCTTAACGACAAATCGAAAGGATTCTGCTATATTTTTGAGAGTTAGATTCAATTTTTAATTACTTATTTCGTTTTGCAAATTAAAAGGTATTAAAACGTTATATCATATGATTTTCGGGCTGGGTTTGCTACCTATTTAAATGTTGGTTATTTCTTTTTAATTTCAATTGTGTTTTTGAGAGTTTCGAATCCACATTCGACATCTGAGAGTAAGTAATTGAGTCTTAGCTACTTTAGTGCATAAGAGAAGAAGTTGAGATACTTGAAATTCGGGATATTTAGGAATGAAGCAGTGAACTCTGTTCACGGGATAAAGTTGCATAAATAGAATCAGAAATGAGAAGATGATGATGATGAAGAATAAGGAGCTCATTTCGGTGGAGCGTGCGAAGGCCAGACTGTCATAAAAGTGCGAGAATCTTCAGTGAGATGCGAAAGCTTTCTTGAGTTGTTGGTAGTAGTTAAGCTGTCTTTAATCACATCTATCCAAGAGGAAGTGATTACAAATGCGCATCTTTCCTAATTTCAGTACGTACTGGGCAGTGATTGTCAAGAAATTGACGGAATGCGTTTTCAGATTTTAGAGAAAACATATGTTTTTTCACATTCATTCCTTTTTTAAAGGAACGGAACGCAATTTAACCCTGAATCAGTTGCATTTCATATTAATATTTTGCATTTTCAAAAAACAGCTGTTCAGTTATTTTCTCATTTCGATGCCATAATGGCAGTCTAATTTTGAAAAATTTAAGTTCCAAGTACCATTTTCTAGCCCTAATTTTTCAAATACACGAAATGATGATGCGGGCATAGATGTGATAAATCAATGTAATTAAGTTAATGCGGTGACGTTAAAAGTAGCAGTCATTGGTATATTTTTGAAACGAGTGCAGATTTAGGTAGTTTTTGGGCATTTGCCTTAGGAGAGTACGATGCCTAAGCTGATCTGCCAGACTCATGCTTGCACAACAACATGATTTTCAAGTTCTCTTCGGCTGCATATCTTTGTTCTTGCTTTCTCTTTTTTCGGATTTTCATCGCTGTTGGACAGTGGATCTGCGTTTCAGGTTTTAATGAACCAATAACTGAAATCAGATCCTTGTTCTAAGTCGACGCAAACCTTTACAATTTTATGATTTCCAGCAAGGATTTACTCAATTTTGATGCATCATATCACCGATTCACTACATCTCAATCAAATGCCCAACAAATTCCTAAATAAAAACCTGCCTATAACCAGGTAGACGTTTCACTGAAGAACAAAAAATGTAGTCTGCATTTTCACCCAATTCTTCCTTTTTCTTTCGTCTGGTCTGAACAATAGTTGTTTTCACTTTGACCCATACAGTATCCTTGTTAGCAGTCGAATTTACATCATATATCCATTACTTGAAAATGAGAAAGGGGAGGTTTCGATCTCCTTGGAGTTCCGTGAATTTGAAATCCTAAATGAATTTAAAATAATGATGAAAAATGCTGAAATTGAAGCTTTTGTTGTTATGATACTACTAAGGGTTTAAGAATAAATTCATTTAAAACTTGAAATTCACCCATGGTTTTTAGAATTAAATATAATTATATTGAATTTGAAATTTAAAATGTGCAAAACAGGAATTCAATTAAGACAAAGCAGTGGATTATTCTGTATCGTCGTTTGTCGAAGGGTCATGCATTACTCCCTCTACAAGCATACCAGCAAGTGACTAAGGGCATTCATATTATGATTAACGTTTTATCATGAATTATTACAAAGATAGGCCAAGATTGGTAATTTCCTTTGACTTTAAACAGCTTTCATGACCTCAGGGTAGTATTTTGAAGAAAGATAAAATCACTGCTCCACTCCCTGAGCTAAAACTGTGTCCATTTCCGTTCTTATTAAATTTCGCATTTTCCTCGATTGAATGTAGTTTCTATGCCTTCCTTCCTTTTGCTCTTTTATGGTGCAGACATTCAGTCGTGAAACTAATGTTTGTGTATGTGTGTGTGTGTGTATGTGTGTGTTTATTGATGTGTGAGCGGAGGAAATTGAATTGAAAATGCCTAGGCAAGGAAATGCATAGAGTTTTATTCGTGGGTCTGGAGTTCAGCTCCCTCTTAATTAAAAAAAATAAACCCCCGCCTTATTCTCCTCCCTCTTTTTAGGAACATCACATAGAAGAGGAGCAGATTCGCATTAATGAACTCGTATCATCTACAAAAGGGCGACTAAAGGTGTTGGAAAGTAGCAAGGCTGAAAATCTGGAACTTCTTCAACTAGCAACAACCATCTCGGAGGATTTGGCAAAAGCTGTCTGCGAATTCACTTCCGCTTTTTATAAGCACTCTCGTCTATCTGAGGATTTTCAGGTCAAGAAACAGATAATTGAAAGGCAACTAGAGGAACTCGGCAATTTGGAGGCAAGCCACTTCCACGCAAATATTATTATTATTATTTCAAATGGCTGGCTTTATGATATTTATCATTAGTCCTTTAGAACTTTGACTTCAGCTTTCCTCATGGGTGGGGGGTACATATATAGAAGTTAATTGATAGCAGTTCATTAGCTGTCTTCTTGCTTCC